CTGGTAAAACGGCTTATTGTTATGCAAAATTACAAGTTAGGAAAAAAACTTGACTTGTGGGTCCACCCTATTCTCACATAAGAGATCTATGTCTCCGCTAATCGCGGAATATGGTTGTGAATCTAGTTTCTGTCCACTGTATGAGACCGTTTGTCGTGGGCACCGAGGTTTCAACTGGTATCGTGGCAGTTTTTGAAACAGTTCTAAGCTTGCGGGGTCGTCTGTGTAAAAGGCAGAGTTCTGTTGAGCGGATTACGTTTCCAGTTTTGACTCTCAAAACTGGTGGTCAACCGTTACTGAAATGAGAGGACTAATGTCAGTGTTGAATCGCTTATAAGAGTAAATTTCATATAATTTTTCAGTAAAATTCTTCAAATGGAAGGACCGCGAGCGCTTTTCAAAGGTGCTGCATGCCGTATGATGGTGATGGCTCCACTGTTCGGAATCGCTCAAACAGTTTACTATATCGGAGTAGCAGAGAAGATATTGGGAGTACAAAAAACAGGCCATATCTAGATTGTGTCGCCTTTCTGGCTGCCCAAGTAGTTGAGAATAAGTTTAGAATATTTGTTTGTCTACTTACCCATTCAAGTGCTGCCCAAATGCTGGTCCTCGTTTTAGGTTGCCCAATTTCACGTATTGATCACTATGCCACTATCTTCTGTACTGACATATGCACTGATTTAATTGTAACATCATTTGTAGAATAGTAATTACTAGATTACTAGATAATTGTAAATAGGATTTAGGTGACTACCTCGTGAAACTGTAACAGCGGTATTAGTATTGTGTGGTAAACAGTATAGGTTACTGGTTTGGTAGGGATCTTATCATGTTTCTATATTGATGGACTACGAGGTAGCAAACATGACTAATGAACTCTTGGAAAAGTTATTGAGTGAGTATGAACCTTTCATGTTGTCACAGGCATGCTGCTGGCACAATAAAATGTTATGGACGCTCGGTTGCTTTTTTGATGTCCTTTCATTTATTGAGATCGTTAACACATTCCGGACTGCCGTTGTGCGAGAATCTCCGTATCATTTCGTTACTTTTCGAATCGGTAATCAGTATGTTATCGGCTTCTTTCGCATTCCTATGAGACATGTGTATTCTGGGCCTAGAAAAAATGCTCTGATAACTTTGGAGCATAAATAAGTTGCCAAATAGACGAAAGGAAACGGTGCAGAGAGAATTATGCATGACACACCATGAGCGTCACGCGTTCCGGAGCGTGTTAAATAGACCGTTAGGCATTGCCAGGGGATCAATCGTCAAGGGGTGGCTTATTGAGCTCCCTATTCTGCCTGCCTACTACGGCTCAGGAAACAGAAAGAGGGATGGCACAAGTGAAGCCCTTTTCTAATTCTGAATGATGCTTTGCAACTGTTTACTGCTCACCACTGCTAGTTATGCCGCTGTTCGAGGTCGCAAAGTTATGGCAAGAATGCTGAGTCATGCACGAAAGTCTTGACCCCGCCGGGGGTCGAACCCGCTGCTCATGCTTTCCGGGCCAGTTCGCTGTCGGTTACGTCGTCGAAATGGAATAACCCTTTCGTACCGTTTGGAAACCCTAACTGCATTAGGGAACATCATCGGGATGGGAGGAATGGATGAAGGATTGCCAAAAGTCCTTCCTTGGTTAATCCCAGTGACCAAATTTGACAAGAGAGATTTGGGAGTCCGTGTGAATGGGTGTTACCGTAGACTTGGTTGTGATTGGAGCGCGCTGATGGATTGGGGCATGATTCGCAGGAGCCTCGAAGGTAGTAGACTTCCAGTAGTCGAAAGAAGATGAATTAATTGCATTATGGTATTGCTAAATTGGTTTGTATCTAGAACGATAGTAAACTTCAGCGAATAAGAATTTTAGTATTCCTACTATCCTAGAAATGACTTTAAAGAAGATGATGGTGAGTTTTTGTACCTCAGAATATGAGCAGTGCAAGTATCCTAGAAGTAAATTCGAAACCAT